TTCACTTGTGTTATCTCTTATTTCGGAAATAGAAACCAATAGACACTTACGCTATACATCACAAAAAAGTTAATTTATACTATAGTACAAAGATCAATGTAGCATCGGATACCTTCGAGGAGGATGGTGTTTTAATATAGGTTCGGCTCATCTTAAATTCTCTGAGAAAAGTCAAATTTGGTCAATGAGACGTACTATCTTCTTCATACAAGGACAGTTTTTAATGTAATTATATACTTGGCGAAGACAACAAACAAGTCAGACACCATAAACTATTGCGCATTTTGTTCCACACCAATTATACCAATTTGATTTTTTCAAACAAACGTCATAGTCGAAAGCGACATGTATTACCTACGTATACTTTCTCGATCTGTTCGTATATAAAAAAAAGACACAGGTATCAGATAGATTTGTTTTATAAATATTTAATTTTCACAATATTGTCTTCGTAATTTACAAGCTTCACAAAAACAAGTCAAATCGTCTTCTCGATGTCTATTTCCATTATAGAGAATTGTTGGCCGATCTGGATCTATTGGACGCAGATCAACTCGACGTGTTTTAAAAGCTAATTTCTCGATTAAATAACGTATTGTTTCTGTAATTGAATCAGGTTGGTAGGTAGGAATAACAAATTCTTGTCGACATCGACGACATTGTTGACCGAACAGTTTCCATTTGATAATGCGTGTGTGTTCGTAATATTGGAACAGAATACTCGAATGAATTCGACTGAACCATTGATTCCCACAACGAGCACAGTGAAATCTTCACGGAAAAATATTATGTTTATGAGAAAATATCGGTGCCACTTACTGTGCACCGGAATATCGCTTGAGAATCTGTTGACTACTATCGTTAGTAACGACAATTTCCGGATCTTCAGTTTGCTCTAAATGCCATTGACGAAGAAAATTCATATTGGGATAACTATTCATATAGATTTGCTTCCAATGGGTAAAGGTCTGAAGAAAGAGTTGATTTTGAGCCATGATGATTTTAACGGCACGTGTAAAAAGAGGAGAAGCCAAGAATAGAATGGAGTAAGAAAAATGTATGTTCGCATTTCATAAGTAATCAAAAAAAAACACCACGTTTTTCGATAATGTCGATGATAAGAAGCAAAGAAAAAAGCTATTTTCAACGCTTATTTCATTTGATATCAAAGATGAAAAACGTCTGAATATCGTTTTGTCACAATTCACGAACCGAGTTTATTTTTAATACACTATGATTATATCATAAAAAACGATTTAAAGCAAAAACTTCCTTTTGCAGAGCTTTTCCACACCCACATTGTCTTATCTAATCATCAGTTTCAGTTGGTTGTTGAC